TTTTCAAAGCATGCACACGTGTGCGACAGACAGAGAGAGAGAGAGAGAGAGAGAGAGAGAGAGAGAGAGAGAGAGAGAGAGAGAGAGAGAGAGAGAGAGAGAGAGACCAATCTAACTAACTGCGTGCCCAGCTCCCCCCAACGATCGCAGAATTGCATATCTCCCGACATCTGAGAAAGAATATTTTTGGTTAGCGGGAGACAGGTATGGAAAGTGTGACACACACACAATAGGTGAATTCAAATCCGAACAACCACCAACCCAGCAAACCATGACTGAAAGCTACCGTCCCTCATTTGCACCCTTTTCCCTTCATTTTCTTGCGGGCGAAGCTGCAACAGGTACCCTTGTGGTCAAAACACGTTGTTGCATTTTCGTCGTGGTTTGCAGATATCTTTACATTTTTCTGCATTTCTGTGAGTGCTGGAGATGACACTTCACTCCACAGACGGGCTGTGGGCTGTCCTTGACTGTGGTGGATCCTGACTACGCAACTCATAATCTCTCTCAACACCTGCCAATCTATCCCATGTTTCGTGCTTCCAGACTACTGATGTGCAACTCAGATTCGCTTTTCTGTGCATAAAGCTTGCAAGATTTAGACAGTAGGTGAGTGGGAGGGAAGTGGGCCAAACCAGCAATATCGTTCATGCTTCCTTCAGTGAGAAGGTAGGAGCCCGTTAGGGTTTTAGGTTTGGCCCTATAGTGCAATGTCTGGTGAGATAAGACGGGTGTTATGAAGACTGCTGAGGGTTTACTGCAGACCTATGAAGCTTCACTAAGAAAACAAGCCCTTTTGTAGGCAGGTGTTGTGAGAAATGCAAGACTTGCTGAAATTCACAAGAAGAGATGGAGGGAGATAAAGAGTAGAATAGAAAACAAAGAATTAAAGAAGAAGTATTGCACAAGTTACACCAATGTCTTCTTACTCCTCCTTCCTCCTCATGCCTCTACGTCTTCCTTGCTCCTCCTCCTCGTGTTAATCAATTAAATACAACAACAAATGAATGATTGAACAGGAGTCACTTCCGAGTGTTCCCCCTTGCTGCCAGGAACTCAAGAAATCACCTTTCAGCCCTAACCTCACTTCTCTCCTCTTCGTAGCATCTATGGCTATGGTGGAACATCCAGACTCATCATGGATGTTCAAAGGACAACGCAAACACTACAATGCCAGTCCCATCCCTTCCCCCCATAGCCACACTCTCGGAAGATGTCCAAGACCAACCAGGACCCAAACTGGGGCCTTCTTGATGCAGCGCCAACTAAGGAAGTGAAGATGAAGGTGAGTCATAGCCAAGGTGAGTATCGCTATGTCGTTCCCCCCCTTCCTCCCTCTTCCTCACCTCGTACTCCCTTCTACTGCCCTTCTTCCTGCTCTGGCATGGAGCGCTTCACCCTATACCACCATAGCC